AAATTTATTTGTTACATTTATACTAATAGCAATGGCTACATAGAAGAACAAAATCATCTTTCAAAAAATGCATCCAAATTTATTCTTACTAAACTCAAACCTAAATTTATATTTGCGGGGCATGATCATGAAGGGTGTGATATAACTCATGTAATACACAAACAAAACAATGATAATCATTCGTTTGAAGCTTACAGGACATCGGATTTTGAAATGAGAAAGGATGAACTTATTGGGCAATATGACAGTGAAAAAATTTGGATTGTTAGAGAAATTACGGTTAGATCTGTAATGGGTGGATATGAGGGTAATGCTGGTTTATTTGAAATTAAAAGTATGATTGGAAAAGATGGAAAAAAAGGTATGCTTATTTCAATTCTATTCAATTCATTTACCATTTCTGTAATATTAACTCAAATCCCAATTTTAGAATTTAATTACAATTATAATTCATGTCCATTCGTAATAAATCACGTTCCATGGATAGTCTTAATAATGGATATTATTGTATTAGTAGTTTTTTTATTTAAAATAATGTATGTGGGGTTTACAAACTTGCATTTAAATAGTATTTTGGATGTATTTAAAACGGTAAAAAACTTTACAAAATTTTTAATGAAAAATAAATAAGTCTAAATCGACTAAATGAAAATATTTATTATCAAACAAACGTGCGCTAGTTTCGTTCAGTAATAAGCACTTTCAACGATATGGATATATTGAAAACCTCCGTCACTTTTAGAAAAACTATGTTTATTATATAAAATATGTTTAACTTTTTAACATTAGCACCTATTCGTGTAATATGTTATTATAAAATTTTATTTTATATTTGGAACCGCTTGTCGAGATTTATTAGCACATACTAAACACAACAAACATGTCAGACAAGCATTCAAACGAAAAAAATATGATAACGTTGATATTATTGTTATAACGATCCGTCAAACAATCATTAATTATACAAAAATAACTTTTATTATATCTGCCAAAAATAATGTACCAGCTTAAGCTAACTTACTTGAGCAAACTTGAGCCAACTTACTTGGGCTGGCTTGAGCCATCAGCTCGAGCCGGCTCCTTGGCTTTTTGAACCAAGCCATCCCTATATAACTTTGGATTTCCTGTCGCTTTTTCAACTGCCACACAAAGTTCTTTCCAGGGAGCGTTATAGACATTCAAACCAGCCAAAAAAAGATAATCATGTCCTGTTTATTTTAGATCAATAAGATTCAATATGAAAGTCATATATCAACTAATTTCTTTGTAAATGTATAATTCACATGATATTTACGAACTCTTCCGACAGCCGGTAACGAATATCTTGCTGCTTCACGAATACGTCGTTTGATTCGATTCCTTACTGTAGCAAGTTTACTAACTAATTTTTTAGACACCACGGTTTGAAGTCGATAAGTTGTGATGGGTTCTCTGGTTTTCTTCGCTTGCGCAGAGTTATAAGAATTCAATTAATGTTTAGCCAATATTTGAGAATCCTAAGTGATTTATCTAAAGTAATTACTATAATAAGTGTCTTTTTCACGCCATGGACGTACGATCAATGTAAAAAGGTCATTCCTGATTCGTGGAAAGGATCGGTTTGTCATAATACTTTTGAGAGTATCATCATCTATAGAGTGGATCTGAATCGACATTAAGAACATGCTTGCTTTTTGCTTCATAAAAGACAACATGTAGAACACTTACATCTTTTAATAACAAATATGGTACTGACTTTTGCCGTTTATTTGTTTTTTTTTTAACTGAGTTTTCTAAATTTTGAGTATTTAAAATAAATATCAAACCGAAAAACTGGAATTCTTATAAAAATTTCCAAATTTTTATTTGGCAACATTAAATACAACTTTTATTAAAACGTACCTATGGTGTTTTACACTTATGAATACATTATCTCAAAAACTAGATAATTAATTGGATGCATTTTTTGAAAGATGATTTTGTTCTTCTATGTAGCCATTGCTATTAGTATAAATGTAACAAATAAATTT